CTTGTATTTTTATGATTAAGCTGCAGCCAGTGCAGTTCTCCACATTTTACACTCATTAAACAGGTAAATGTGCAGATGTTAACATGTCTGTTAGTGTTCACATATTCACCTCAACAATTAGTTTTAACTGTAAAAACTTGATTTTACAACAGAAATAATGTTTTTATGTCATTTAAAGGAACCATGAAAGAAAACCAGACTCCTGACGTCATTAACTTTACCTCAAGTGATAAAGTTTATTCATCAGTTTATTCATTTTAACTTTAATAAACTAAAGAAACAAATCTACTTAAACTATTATAAATGTTTGAAATCAGCAGTGTTTAAATGATTTTACTGAGAACACTTTAAAGTTTTATTCTTCTAATAAAATGTTGGAAGATTTGATAAAAACTTTCAGATTTTGACCTGAACCCACTGGACCTGCTGGTTCTGGTTCTGGTTCTGGTTCTGACAGCAGAAATCTGATGAAATTTAAAGAACTTTTTCAAACTCAGTTTTCTGTCTTTCTTTGAGTTTAACAGAAAATAAAACTTGAAAGTAAAAAAATAAAAACGTGTAAATTTGCTGCAGAAGCTTCTCTGTAATCCTGCTGGACTTCAGAACCCACCTGGACCTGGTACATGGTTCCGGATCAGTCTGCGGGATGCAGCTGGACCTGAAGCCGCCTGAAGTCCACACAGACCCGGATCTGCTGCCGTGAAGCGCTCGGTGTACCGGAACCTCTCAGTCCTGGACCAGAACCGCTTGAATCCCGGTTCTTCTGGGTGTCCCGGTCCCGGTTCTGGTCTCGGTTGGGCCGGTCTAACCTCGTCGGGGTTCGGGTTTCATCTCGCTCCAGAGGAGGCTGAGAGGAAAATAAACCGAAAACATCCGAACATCTGCGAACAGTTCCGAGGACTGACTTCCGGTCAGGTTTTCACATTAAAAGCCTGTGAATGATGTACCTTACTTCCGGTGCATAAACTGAATCAGCTGTGTTCCTGTTTGTTCAGTTTGCAGCAGAGTTCAGTTAATTAAAGGTTAAATGTTTCCTGTGAACTGTCAGTGTTTGTCCACCAGGAGGCGGTGTTGGACACATCCGGTACAGACATTTAGTTTCTCTTCTGTCAGCCCTACAACTCTGAGACTGAAGACTTACAACAAATATTTACTTTCAGAGTCATGAGAATCTCTCCTGTCATTCATGAGATATTTTGCTAACAAACATCGGTCCACCTTCAGGGACAGGAGATGTTCAGAGACGTCCTCGTCAAAGACAGATTTACTTTTCAGATGGAAGATTGTTTTATTCTGATTTATTGCTAACTTTCAACACAATGAACAGAAGTTCAACTAATGACATGAAACAATTACAATAACAAACATGAAACATTAAACGACAAAACAAGAAGCAAAACTAAAAAACAAAACAAAAAACTAATACCACAGAAAGTATAACTTTACTAATACAGGTGGATAAAAAAATAAAGGATTAAAGAGAAGTTACAGAAAAAAAAGCTAATAAAATGGGTCAATTAAAGAGCCGAATATATTCTGTGCTTCTCCAACGTAAGGGTCAGGTACAGGTGGACCCAGGTGTAACTGGGATTACTGAGGGCAGAACCCCTCATGGGTAACATCCACTGTCAGAGACAGCACCATAGACCTGGGTCCTGATCCTTAAAAATGTAGTTTCAGAGACTTTGAGAGAGAACCCCGGGTCCCTGACAGACCAATCAGCTCACTCTGTCTTCTCAACAGTTTCATGAAGGACAGTAACTATGGTTACATGGATATAAGTAATCTGATGAAACGACCATTCAGAATAAAAATGTGTCATGTAAACATATTAACTGTCAAAAGCTGAAAAAAGATCCAGCAGGACCAAACCAGTGCATTTCCCAGCATGTGCAGACATCATTATGTCACCTGATCCTTTGATCGGGGCAGTTTCTGTGGAAACGATCAAACATGTCAGAGCTTTGTAGGAATGCTTTAATGACTCAGAAACACCTTCTCTAAAGGTTTGGACAAGAAAGGAAGTTTTGAAACAGGGCGTGAATTATTTGACAAAGTAGGGTCCAAATGAGTTATTTTCAGAAGAGGTTCCACAAAGCATGTCTAAAAGATCTAAGGAAAAAAAATTGTATAGGTCCTCTGGACGGGTTCTTCTTTAATGAAACGTTTCGTCTCTCTTCCAAGAGACTTCTTCAGTCAGAGAGTTTCAGGCAAAATTCAGGCTTTTATGTCCTCCCTCCAGGTGACTGATACTCACATCACATGACCATCGTTCACAGGTGACTCCCACTCACATCACCTGGCTATGACTCACAGGTGACTGATACCCACATCACATGGCCATCGTTCACCCTAATTAATCCCTTTTGTTAACAGGGGGTGGAGTGATACTGCCAATGGCAGCGCTGTAGCAGGGGGACAGCTGCTCCTTTTGTTAACAGGGGGTGGAGTGATACTGCCAATGGCAGCGCTGTAGCAGGGGG